GGTGTTGAAGCTTATATAGCCTTCATTCATGGTGGGCAGTAAAATGTTTATTGTGTTTGAATGTGTTTATGTAAGTGGAGCCGTACCTGTTGGTTTGTCCCATTATAAGGACACTAGCTTCTTAAATGGACAAATTGCGTCTAGCAATAATGAGATTGAGCAATAACAGGTCTGTGATGCCCTTAGATGTCCTGGGCTGCACGCGCTACAATGAAAGTATCAACGTGTATTTCCTAGACCGAGAGGTTCGGGTAAACCGCTGAACCACTTTCATGCTTGGGATTGTGAACTGAAAATGTTCACATGAACTTGGAATTCCCAGTAAGTGTGAGTCATTAACTCGCATTGATTACGTCCCTGCCCTTTGTACACACCGCCCGTCGCTACTACCGATTGAATTATTTAGTGAGGTCTCCGGACGTGATCACTGTGACGCCTTGCGTGTTACGGTTGTTTCGCAAAAGTTGACCGAACTTGATTATTTAGAGGAAGTAAAAGTCGTAACAAGGTTTCCGTAGGTGAACCTGCGGAAGGATCATTATTGTATATAATATCTTTACCGTAAACAACAATAACTTGTTTTAATTATAAAATATATTTTTATAATATAACAAGATAAAATTGCCAAACAATTATATATTTATAAAAAAAGAAATTCAATGAAAATTTGGATTAAATTTTTTATAAATAAAATCAAGCAAACAAGAATAATAATCAAGCAAATTAAATTTAATTTAAAAATATACACAAATTTTTTTTTTATTTTTTATAAAAAAAAAATTGTGTATAAAAATAACAAAAACACCCCCCAATTAAAAATTTTATATTATATTAAATTTTAAAAATTAAATTAACAAAACCAAAAACTTAAAATTTTAAATTTTTTACCTTATTTAATTTATTTTTATATATAAAAAAAAAAAACAAAAAATTAAAATAATAAAAATTTTTAAAAAATTAAAAAATAAAAAAAAAAAAAAATTTTTAATAAAATTTAAAAAAAAAAAAAAAATTTTTTTTAATTTTTTAAAAAAAAAAAAAAAAAAAAATTTAAAAAAAATATTTAAAAAAAAATATAAAAATTTTTTTATTAAATTTTTTTAAAAAAAAATTAAAAAAAAAAAAAAAAAAAAAAAAAAAAAAAATAAAAAATGAGTAAATCACGGGAATTTTAATTTTATTTTTTTTTTTAAAAATTTTTTTTTTGTAAAAAAAATTTTAAAAAAAAAAAACCCAAAAAAAAAAAATCAAGCAAATTAAATTGTATTATAATATTTTCAAAAATTTATGTTTATATTATAAAATAAAAAACTTCGGTTTTTGGAACCCAAAAAACCCCCCCTTTCGAAAATAAATTTTTTTCTTATTTTTTGGGAAAACCATGGGAAAAAAAAAACCCAAAAATTTTAAATTTTTACCCCGTTTATTTCCGTTTTATTTTTTTTTTAAAAAAAAAAAAAAAAAAAAAAAAAAAAAAAATAAAAAAAAAAAAAATAAAAAAAAAAAAAAAAAAAAAAAATTTTTTTAAAAAAAAAAAAAAATTAAAAAATTTTTTTAAAAAAAAAAAAAAAAATTATTGAAAGATTTAAAATAAAAAAAAAAAAAATTAAATTTTTATTTTTTTTAAAAAATTTATATTTAAAAAAAAAAAAAAAAAAAAAAAAAAAAAAAAAAAAGAGGAATAAAACGCAAAAAAAAATATTAAAGGAATTTTAAAAAAAAATTTTTTTAAAAAAAAAGAGAACCAAAAAAAAAAAAAAAAAAAAAAAAAAAAAAAAAAAAAGAGCTTTTTTGAGTGTTTTGAAATGTGACGGTTAATTGATGGCGGGGATATTAAAAATGTTTGTTGGCGCGCATATTTAAATTTCGGAATGTCCATAAACTACCTACTGCTATTGCTACTGCTACTACTACTGCTACTACTACTGCTATTGCTACTACTACTACTACTGCTACTACTCCTACTACTACTATGAGTCAAATCCATTGTTGCAGTGAAAGCTCACTGTGTGTATACACACAGTGAGCTATTCACTGTAGCAATTGATTTGTGGCGACGTGTGAGTTGTTGTTGTTGTTGTTGTTGATGATAAAAAGTGTAAAGTGTTTTGACCTTGAATAATGAATTAAGCGCGTTGGAGTGGGTCGGTGACCGGCCTGCTGCCGGCTTTTTGCTGATAACACTCTATTTGTGAGTGAATGTAGGTCGGGGACAGTTGGGTGTGAGTTTACTGTGAGAAATTTGTGTTTAAGCTGAGAGAGAGAGAGAGAGAGAGAGAGAGAGAGAGAGGCGGGGTGCGCCCCTGATTCTTTGGGGCTGTCTTAGCCCTCCCCTTATCCCACCTCCTAACAAAGAAAAATTTTTTTAAATTTGTATACAGTTTAAATAATTTTTTTATTTTATTGATGATTGTATATGTTTGTTCCGAGGGGTCTTGTCATTCGTTCCCTCAAATTGTGATAATGTTGTATTATATAAAGTGCATCTTCTATAACCAGGTCACGGATAGCAATCAAGATCCTCAAATCTTCTTCAGAAATTATACCTTCAAACTCATCACAAAATTCTTGTATTTCTGTTTTGAGCATTTTCGTCACTTCAACAATGTTAGAATCATTTTTGATCATTTTTGACTAAATAAAATTTTTAAAAAAGAAAAATAAGTTTTTATAAGATAAGGTTAAAGTAAGACAAAGATGTTGTTAATATTTACGTTGTTCGTTTGTAAACTGTCAATAGATCAAAGTGTTTGTAAATTTAAATATTAAATTTTGCACCCACTCAGACCTATGGGAAATTCACATAGTAAATAAAAAAAGATTATGAAATTATAATGTTGGGTTATTTTTTTATTGTTTCCAAAACCAAAAAAAACAATAAAAAGAGTATTCATTTAGCCACAGCAGTTGTGATTTACATGGGTGTCTTCTTTCTCATTATTTCTGTTTCGTTGAAATAAATAATTATAGGCGAGTTCTTCCATTTCCGGTCCGTCTTCCATATCTTCAGTACAACGACAGCGGATACACTGACAATTATTCGCACCTAAGCAAACGTTGACATCGTTTGCATTGTTTGGAGAAGGAACCTCTACAGGCTCAGTGAACACAAGCTTCTTCAGTGCTTTTTTCCGAGCTTGCAGTTCTTTCTTCTGATCTTGGTCGTTCATTTTCTTTACCGTTTTATTTCTCCGAGTTGGATGGTATCGTTGAACTTTAGTTTTTAAACTGAATTGAAAATAGAAATGTCGAGTCCTATTTATTTAGACTTTTATAAATTATCTAATTTAATAATTTTTTCTTTTTTTAGTTGTGATTTACTTCACCATATCAGATGACACAATCCAATTTTTGTTTTTTGTTGAACAAACAAATTTTGAACTGTATCATCGAAATGTGGGAAGTTAATTAACATATACGTGTTTTTTTTGTTTTTGTTTTGACAGCGCTAGCATAAATTTTTTTTTTTTTTAAAAAATCACTGAATATGATATGGAAAATTTGAATGTTGATCGCATACACACACGTAGATTTTAATTGTTGGTCTTATTCTCTATCCATTTGTATAATACCAATGATCTCAAGTTATGTTTTTTAATACAACGTGAAATTATTCGCATTACACCAATGGTGACGGAAAAAACTAATAAAAGTACTCAACGTTTTAGCTCTCGACTTCGTTTTGAAGTGGGTATCCAACTTTGGGGCTCTATTTATATGAGTCCGAACTTGTTATCTTAAAAAAAAAAAAAAAAAACCACCCTCAACGTACTACTGAGCGTGTGAAAGAAAATTATCGTCTTGCCTTTGCCTTTTTTTGTTGTACATATATATAAAAGATTTCGCAAGATTTCGCATACCTCCTTTATATAAAAACCCAAAATAAAAACATTATTTCATCATAATATTAAATATGATTATTTATTGATTGATAGTTACGTATATAGATATTAATATTTTACGTTTCAGTGGATAGCTGGTTAGCTTTATTAAAGAATGGAAATATACGTATATAGATATTAATATTTTACATTTCAGTGGATGAGTGGTCATCTCTATTAAATTTAGTATAATCAATATATAAAAGAATTGAAATTCTAAATATCTGCAATACAAGACTGAAAACAATCAACATAGCCATTATTAACATTACCGCAAACCACACGTATAGGAAAGTAGTATTTAACGAGTTATTAGTTTTAGCAATATTAAGATCATCTATATAATTATCTACGTAGTCTTTAATATTCGATGATGATTTTTCTGTTGTTGTAGTTGTAGTTGTAGTTGTTTTTGTTGTTTCTGCTATCTCTTCTGGTGCTGATGCTGTTTCTGGATCTTCAGTTGGTTCTCCTAGCATTTCTGATATTGTGGCTTCTGTTGCTTCCCTTGCTTCTTCTACCATTTCTGTTGTTGTTGTTGTTGTTGTCATCTTTGTTGTTGTTGTTGGGGTTTTGTCAGCCTGTATAAAGACACCACATGCTGATAATAAAAACAACATGAAAAATATCATGTTTTTTTTTTTTTTTTTGCTGCTTTTCTTTTTGTAAAAACTTAAAAATGCTTGAAAGTTTCAAAGAAACTAAAATGTGTTCTGGAAATGTAGGTCGCTTTTTATACTACTCCCTATGCCGCTTGGCCGCTTTGTTTAAATTATCGCCATTCCTGTTTTTATATGTATGTGAACTTTTTGTCGACATGCATAAAGTTTTTTTCTGCAAATGGGCAATTTTTTTTTTTGTCGATACACCAAGATATTATTAATACACAATTAATACAAAGTGAGTTATTCAAAATTCCCACGAGAGACGACGGTCTTGCTAGTTGGCAATTTCCTTATGCGGGTCTCACATTCTGTCACAGCGTGTCAGCTTGTCCTCGCAACAAAGTATGTTATCAACTTTGTTTTGCGCATTAAATTTATGTGCACATGTTATTATCAACATGCATTTGTCCAGCAAATGGAAAATTTTCCAATGTCAATAAAAAAAACCACAACGTCCTGTTTTTTTGCAACAAAGTATTGAATTATTGAAAATTTTATTTATACAAAGTGCCGACGAGAGACCGCCTTCGCAACAAAGTGTGTTATCAATTCCGACGAGAGACCGCCTTCGCAACAAAGTGTATTATCAATTCCCACGAGAGACCGCCTTTGCAACAAAGTGGTGTGCCAGCAAAATCTTTTTTGCGCAGTAATCTTGCTATTCAGGATGATGATGATGATGATGATGACGGTTTCGATCTTGAACAAAAAAAGAAAAATTGTATAATTTTTTTAAATATACTGAATGTATGTACTACTTACAAAATTTTATAAGAAGTCATAATTTGTAAAGCGTCATGTTCATCAATTAATTTTTGTTGAATGTACTTGGCATGTTGTTGTTGTTGTTCTTCTTCTTCTTCATATTTCTCATAGTCTACTAGATCATTTCCATTATTAGACGTTTCAAATTTATTAAAGATAAAATTTAAATTTTTAATATGTTCCAATCGTGTTTGAATATTTAAAAGTTTTTCCTTGTCCTCAGGCGTTATAATGTTAAAATATTCTCGTATGAAATCTATAATTTTTTTTAAAATGCTCATATTTTCGTGTTTTTTTTTTTTTTTTTTTTTTTTTTTTTGTTTTGTTTTTTTTTGTTTGACTTTTTCTTCTTGTTATATTCTATTGGATATCCATGTGTAAGACTTGCACATAATCATTGATGTCGTATGTTCCAATGTTTCGTTCTGACTGACTTCTGAAAATTGACTGTACTCCATTATCTGACTGACTTCTGACAACTGGCTGTACTCCATCATCTGATTCATTTTCATCATTAAAATCTCGTTCATATAGAAAACTTGTTTCCCGGAGTTGATTATTTTTTGGCATATCGCAGTAAATTCTTAATATTTTGTTCATAAAATCACTGTAATATCGACAATTAATATCTATCAATCCTCTCAAATATCTTAATTTAAAGTGTCTTGCATATACGTTCGGTGACTCAATCACTCCGCCAATATTTTTCTCCATCCTTATTAGATGACGGCGAAAATTTTCCACCGCGTCAGAGACTGAGGGGAACGTTGCTGGCAATGGTTCATATCTAAATGTTGTTTCACGTTCAAATTGTCGCCGGTTCGTCTCTTTTGTAGAATCAATTTTTGTTACTTTAAAACACACGAGTACGAGAAGTACTACTTTTAGTAAAAACACCTTGTTGTTCATTTTTCTTCGATGCTCTCTTAAGAACTAGTTTTACAGAATTATTCCTGTGGTATATTTATACTGGTGCGTATATATGTATGGAAAAAAAGGTAAAAAAAAAAAATAGGTATACATTGTATGCGACTTGTATTTATTTGAAACGCAATAGCTGTTTGATCTCTTGAATAAGGCACACACATGTACAAATTTACATATGTATGTGTATAGTAATGTTACAGAATTGCGATAAAGTAAAATATGTATACCTACATATAACCGCAATAGTTGTTTGACCCCCTTTGAATTGTGATTAAAAAATACATTGTATGTGCGCTCATCATTTTATTTATTTTTTATTTGAAATATAGTGAACATACATATAGTTGTTTTTTTACATACAATATGTGCGATTATAATTTTTATTTGAAATATAGGAGTACATAATTTGTATTTGAAATATAGGAGTACATAAAATATATTTGAAATATAGGAGTACATAAAATATATTTGAAATATAGGAGTACATAAAATATGATTACAAAAATTAAAGTGTCAATTATTTATTGAGCTCCACATTGCTCAATTGATTTTCATATGTAACATTTGAGTGTAGTTATTAATGTCATCATTAATGATGACATTTTCCAAGCTATCGGGGTTTTTTCTAACTTCTACTTGTTCGATTTCCCCGTTGTCTAATATCCGTTCAATTATTTTTGTTTCATAAAATTGAGTGCAATGTAATGTTAGAATCTTCTTTTCATAATTACTTTCATATAAGCAACGAATTGAGATAGCCGTATCTTTATATTTAAGGTTAAAATGTCTATAAAATGGGGTAGTAGCGTTTATTATTCCTCCGATATATTGTTCTTTTTCTATTAAGGCCTCCTGAAAAGATTTCACCGCATCCTCTCTAGTAAATTGCTCATAACTGTCACTGTAAATTTCTTCTATTGAGCTTTCTGTTGTCGGTTGTTGTGGTGGTGGCGATGGCTCTGTAGATTTTTATATATTTTTTTTTTTTTTTTTTTTTAGTAATTAAAAAAAATAATGTATTGTTGTCTTTAACAACATCGTTACCTCCGCTCTTTTTTGACCTCGTTTCCAGTATCGTTGATGTAGTTGTAGTTGTTTTTGCTGTCGTTGACGATAATGTTGTTGTTGTTGTTGTTGTTGGGGAAGACATCGTTGTCAAATCAAACAGTTCAACATCCGTTTTTGATTCCTTATTGAGAAACTCGAATGTGAGGTCTATTTTTATAACATCGTTGTTTGGCAAGGTATAATTAAATTGTATAGTTTTTATAGTTGTCGGTTTGCAATTTCCTGAATGTGCATTAAATAGCAAAACAGTTGCAAGGATTATAATTTGTAACATTTTTTCAACTTCTGAATTATAGTTTCTAGTTTCGAATCTGATTTATTACTAATTTCTACATCATGTTCGTGTAAACAAGAAAACTAGAAAATATATTTTATCGTATGTAATGTTTTCTCGAAGCTCTGTTGAAAGCGTCATGTTTTCTCGAAGCTCTGTTGAAAGCGTCTTACGTATATGTATATACAATGCATATTATTTTTCAAGCTCGTTTTTATACTTTGTTTACAGTAATCTGTAATCTGTGACTTGTTGTTTTTGTTGTTGTTGTTGTTGTTGTTCTCTTACTCAGAACGAGAGAAATTAAGTATATGCATGCATTTAAAATATTTTTCGAACTTCGTTTGTTAGTGGTGTATATTCGAATAATTTATCATGAATTATTAGGCAGTATGCTGATGTTTTTTCGGGGATATTTGTTAATGTCTTAACATCAATTCGTATATCAATAGGTCCGCTTTTCACTGTTTCATTTTGATGTGTCACATCTAAAACAATGAGGGGGGCATCATCTTTAAAAGCCTCTATCGACAATAATGGTTGCGCTTCAAATCCATAATAACTTTTTTGAAATTTAATATACATGTCATATAATAGTCCATATCTATTCATACTAAAGTTTTGATTTAATAAATCATATGGATAAACTTCAGAATTCAGATATACTTTCACGTCGTTTAAATCGCAGTGAACATATTTATTTTTATTTTTAAATGCGAGAATAATATAGCGAGGGCGTTCAGTTTCAACTGCTAATTTCACATTCCATATAAATGAAGTACTTTGTGGAACTACTGGATTATAATAGATATCCCAACTCCTGAACGGTATTAATAACGGAGTTTGTTTGTTTATTATTTTAAACATGTATAATTTATAAGCATCTGACAATTGAACATGTGGCACTTTCCATACAATACTCGAAATTATCATTTTTAATTGTGACATTGGTAGGTCAGTAGCAGTACTTTTAAAAACATTTTCATTATCCTTTGCTCGTAACAGAATTAGTTCATGTTTTCCATTAAGCAATATCTTGTTATAGTCTTCTGCAAATCCGAGTAGCATGTTCAACGGTAGACAAAAATTGAAGTTTCCTTTTTCAAGTTTTAATTTTAAATTGTTGTCTTCATATATGGACCATCCAGAATTTCTAAACATATCCAGTTGATTTTGCTTCATTGATAAGTAATTTTTTAAATCAGTAGTTACACCCAAATGTCGTGTTCGATCAATTTCAATACCGTTCAATTCATATCGTATATCACTAAATAAATATGACATACAGTTGTTTAATAACTCTATTGCAGATACGATTGAACCATCAAGTTTTGTGATATGTCCTTGAATGTAGAGGAAACTTTCGCTTGGCAATACAAACAAATCTTGATTTTGTATTGCAATCCGAATTTCATCATTGTTATCATATGAACGTAAATAGGCTGAATAACTATGATAATCTTTCTTTATTATTGAATTATCAATAGTGGGTTTCTCGAGCACATTAATTATATGCGACATTTTTTAATTTGAAGCCTAAACTCGATAAAAATTTTTTATTACACTCCGTTAATGGGATTTTTTGTGTTTGTTTTTGTTGTCGTTGTCGTCCTCGTTGTCGTCTACTGTCTGACGTGTTCAGTGTTTGTGAAGCGAGTAAGGATGAATTAAGTGATAATAAGTTATTATACTCATTGTTGTTGTTGTTGTATATAATCATCTTTTTTTTGTTTTATATCGGTTTCAGATGTAATCTGATTGTAATTCTTTCACCACGAAAATTAATCAGGTCACCGTTTTGATCAACGATTTTTAAAGTTATAGAATGTATTTGGGTTGTGTTGACTGGTAGATATATAACATTTTGTGGTGTCTCAGTTATTTTGTAGCCAGGACTTACGACAAGTGCAAACTGATGTAATGTGTGCGCTGTTTCATTGTTTATATATGCTCCATTTATAATACTGCATTGCACACAAATGCTATTGATTTTTGTAATATCGATTGTCTTATCAGAAGTATGTTTTATTTTAGGCGTCAATGTTTTTGAAGTGAATCCTAATAATGATCCGATTGATTTTTTCCTATCGAAATATATTGGATCGGTTGAAGAGAAAATTTCTGATTGTAAAGTGTTATAGTTCGGAACTAGGTAGAAATTACGCCTTTCACTTCCATTGGTTTCCTTTTCCGTTAAATTGTTATATTCATCCGTTATAAGTTCACTAATATCGTTGATTTCATATGAGCCTACAGGAATTTTTATCGTATGTTTGCCAATATGAAATAAATTATTTTCTATATCAACGTTTGGGATCGAATGGTATGTGTCTAAGCTTATTAAACCGCACTGATAGTTCCCTTCAAGTTCAATGGGTGGGAAATAATCTGCCACCAGTACTGATGTATCACCTGTCAGTGTTAATGTTATTGACATCTTAACGCCTCAGAAGTGAATGGACAATTAAAAACAAAAAAACATTTATTTATATATATATATTATGTATGTATGTATGTATGTATGTATGGTTACAAGTCAATCCAAGAATTATGCTCTGATGAGAATCCTAACCATTTAACGAATGCTTTACCATTTCGACGTTTAATAACCTTCTCCACTAGATATGTATCGGGAAATTTAGTTTTCATCAACTCATACTCATAAAATCCTCCTTTAATATCATTTCCTTGATAATCTTCTAATATATACGTAATGGGATTGGTATTTTGTATTCGTTTGATTTTGAATATCTCAGTTGTCCAGTTGGGAGTATAACCTTTTTCAAATACATGCTTGTATTTACTAATTCGCACATAATCATTAACTTCGAATTTCGGTTTGTGTGTAATTTTTAAATGATTGTAAACGCTATCGAGTAGGAATTGTTCATTTGTGAAATTTACATCGTTCGGTGTCATCCTTATTGTCTTATGATACGTATTATTATATTTCGCAATCAGTGACTTGTAAATATGAATCCATTTGTAGGTGCCTTGATAGCTGAACTCTTTCCACATCATATTTTTGATGGTTCTGTTAAATCGTTCAACGATACTTGCCTTTTTAAAAAAAAGAAATGTTATAAATGTTGAATAATGATTAATATAATTTAATTTCATCATATTTACCTTTAAAATGCTAAATGTTGAATAATGGTTAATATGATTTAATTTCATCAGATTTTGAAATGTCTTGTTGAAAAATTCTTTACCATCATCGGTTTGCAAGTTTTTTGGCTTTCGTTGTGCGTCATCGAAAATGCTTTTCATACTTTTCATGACGCTGTCTCCTGTTTTGTTTTTAATAGCAACAGCCCATGCTTGCTTCGAGAACGTGTCAATAACAGTTAAAAGATAGCGATAACCCTCATTATATAATTCGTATGGCTTCATTTCAACTAAATCAGCTTGCCATAAGTCATCTATCCCCTTCACTATCACACGGCGTCGAACAAAATTTTTTCGTCCTTGTCTATGCAACTCTTCGATGAGTTGCCTTTTATCCGCATTCACAGTGTTGTTATTATTACTCATTTTTTTTTTTTTTTTTTTTTTTTTTTTTTTTTTTATTTAATATTTAATATTTAATAAGTGGATACTTTAATCTAATTTTTTGTACATCTACGTCTACGAGTCTAGATGACCTGATTACATCAAAGAAAACATCCTCAAGACGTGTCAAATTGATTTGTAATGCTTCTATATAATCAGAATAAATTTTTTTAGAGTATTCATTAAAGGTTATTCTTATAAATTCCGCCTTGTCATCGACATCGGCTTTAAGACTTGTTTCTAATTGAACTATTCTACTAGTTAAAATTTGTACGTCCCTTCTCAAGCTTTGTATATCGATATCCGTTTTTTGTTGTTGTTTGAGCACGTCTTTTTTCAGTTTCGAAAGGTTGCCTCCTCCAGAACCGCCGGAATCCCTTGACTGTGAAAAGCTTTCACCAAATTTGTTTATCTGATTCATTTTATTATATTTGCTTCTCTAAGCTCTTCTATAATGGATATAATTTCGTTTTTATGATTGGTATTCCCGGCACCCTCCGATGCTAATAGTAAACGCAATCTCTCGACTAATTCATTTGGATCATCCCAATACTTGTATCCTCTGTTCTTCTTTGTATAAGATTTTGTTGTTCTTGTTGTAAACAAACCTTTACCGACAAGTCGTGTTTTCGGATTGATTAGTTTTTTTATGATATGCTGGTATTTAAACGATTTAGTCCCTTTAACTTGCGAACTATTCAGATATTTGCGTTTATGAGCATTTGTTCTTAGCAAAATTTCTTGATAATTTTTCAAGTCCTGATTCGAATAACGGGTTGGATGTGTGTGAAATAGCAATTGAAATAGACCAGATGTTAATTTCCATTTCTGTCTATCAATAATAATTGTTGTATTATTATATTTAATTTTACTATTTGCGAAATACCATTCACCATTTGGTTTTAAATTCAGACCATACAACGTGTCCAATCGTTTTTGACTTTTTAAAATCTGAATGTTCTTTAGAAACGATGATTTCGTTGAAACTTTTCTTATTTGTTTTTCCTTTTTCTTGTTTTGCTGTTGTTGTTCTATTATGTCTAAATTTGGTTCTTTTTCTATTGTTGTTGTTGTTGTTTTGTTATATCTTGGGTATCTAGGTCCATTGATCTTAAAACTTTTTTCAAGCATAGAATCTCTCTTATCCATACTTTCTTGGAGCAAACTTTTTTTTTAAATCTCTTATTGCTATTTACATTATTTGATGAAACATTACGTTTTTGTGTTATTGGTAATCCGACGACGACGTTTGAAAGGTTTGTTAGACTTTGTACAGTACTTCTTCTGTTTTTAGTTTTGTTAAATCTAGGACCATTCATTTTAAGACTTTTTTCAAGCATACTAGTCTTTTTGATTGGGTTTAAGTTACTTAATTTTAATCTCTTATTATTATTGTTAGAATGGAAAACATTACGTTTGATATTCTTAAAAAGACTTAATTTTATATCATTCTTATCATCATCATCATCACGGTCAGTAGCA